GCGTAGAGCTTTTGCCATATCCTAAAAATAAAGATAAAAAAATCAAAAATTTGTAAAAAATCTTCAATGAGAGCCATGATTCAAAACAATGGAACTGAAATCTTCAGTGAGAGACTAATGAAAATGGAAAAACAAACAAGTGTGCTATGATTCTTGCAGACAGCTGCATGAATGGGAAGCACTTACTCAAATATGTCTTCACCTTGACATTATAACTTATTCAGATATGTCACCTTAACATTATAAAGCTGAGTGCACAAGTCCATCCCTCCCCATACCTTCACCATGAACACAGTTCTACAGGGAACATTCCTGGGAGCAGATAAGTAAAATTTTTCAGCATTTCAGTGGTATTTGTCAAGGCAATCTGAGTGTCGTGGCTTACCCAACACACTGGTCTAGAGATAAAAACAGACTGAAAGTAAGAAAAATGAATTTCAGTTCTATCGAGAAGCAATTCAAATGTATTTTAAATACTTAGATTTATGACTCTTCCCTTGCTCTTTTATATTTCAGGGCCAAATTTCATGTCCCATTTTCAATTTTCCAGATAGAATATTGAGATATGGTTGCCACTGAATATGAGAGGTTATGAGAAAATGATTTCTACAAAAGAAGTTGAAAATCAGCTCTCTCATTGTGGATTATGGCACAACCAGAAGGAAAGGCTGGGAACACTGAAAGGAAGGAGAGACCTTGTTCAGGTGTTCTCCCAGGGTGGCAATGACCCCACAAACTGCACCAGATGCCTGCCTGTGGCCCAACCCAGACTGAGAAAAGATGAACCCTTCAGTAGCAGAAAGAAACTGCCTCAAAGCAGCTCTTTTTTTTTTTTTCATAAGCATGTGGATCAACACTGTGCATTTAAAATAAAGTCTATCTGGGAAATAAACTAAATAGTAAGGTGGCTAGATTCACAAGTTAAACCTGGAAATGGTATTCTTGATTAGCAAAAAATACCCCCACTCCCCCTTCCTTGGTAACCAGGAACTGAGAGGAATGCTTAAACCATGGTGTTGTTATAATACACTCAGATCAAACTCAAAGGGGCCCTAAAAGTAGCCAATGCTCAACCCCACATACTTTTTTTTTGGTAAGTGTCTAAAGACATAAGAGTCTAAAGAACAAAACTGTATGGTGCAATTGATCAAAGCAGAAAAGTCCCATAATTCTGTATTAAGACCAAAGGAAATCAAAATATACTCAGATTGCATCATATGCTCATAAAAAAGCTCTCAATTGTATTTCATAAAAAATGGCTGATCTTGAGCTCTGAATCCTCTCACTTTGGCTACAACACACGCATGATTGGGGCCAGTACCTTCCATGTTGGAGTATCTTTGAAGGCCTTGACTCATGTAGACAGAACATAAGGTATAGAAGTAACTTTATTTTAACAAATTATAGCTGAGCCTACTCACAAAGCAACCAAGAGTATGCTTATTGTAGGAGTAAAGATGTTGAAAAGAATAAACAAGAAAATGGTTGATTTCATCAAGGGCTTTCTTAAAACTCACAATTGGTATGACTACAGTTTTATTTAAAAGAGTTGAATTAAATTTGCCTCTGTAACATCCTTAAAAATTACTAATACATATGATATTCATTTCTTTTCTAAATGCACTATTCAATAATTGTGATCCAATTTACTGGAATTAACTAACCTTCCAAATATGATCTGAAGAATAGTCTATTAAAAGGTACACTTTGTCTTTATCTTTGAATTCAGCCATTGACTGGCCTTTTACCTGTTAAATATCTCCTTCTACTGAGTAAAAGAATTACAGAACTCAAAGTGAATCCACATTGGTATTAGAAACATTATACAAATATGTTTCAAATCTGAAAATAGAAGTGAAAGGGCTATAATAGGGAAAAGAGGTTAGCCAAAATCACTATTCTTCTGTTTGTAGTGACCTCTCGTTGACTTCAAAATTTGTAGACTAACCTCTTTCAGATACAAAATGCTTCAAAAGACGTTTACTGAAATAACCCCCAGTAGCAATATGTTTAAGACACTTGTTTTTAAGGAGCCTAAGGGAAGGAAGTACTGGGCCACTGGGAAGCCAAGACTTTCCAGGGACAGGAAGGAAACTTTTCATCCAACTCGTGGCCTAAGGGATAGAGGACAGAAGACAAGACTCAAATTCTAAGCTCTTCTCCTGTTGCTGTGTAAGTTCTAAACTGGGCTTTTCCTATAGCACAAAGAGCTTTTGCTTGCAAAAGTCCCATTATCCATTAGCAAGTGTGTTTATTCTCAGTGAACAAGTGCCTCCCACTCCAAAGAACTGTGCTGCCCTTACAGACCTGAGCCTTCTGACTGCTCTGAGATCAACACAAAGACATTCATTCTCTAAGCCATGAGAGATTCAATTCAAGAGCCAAGACCCTGGCCATTAAAGAATTTGTAGGTTAGCCTCACAAAAACAGCATCATGCTTGACTGTCTTCAGATGCAAAAACTGAATGCATGACTTATATTGGAAAGAAAAGAAACAAGCACAGAAAGAAGAAAAACATCCTACTGAGGAATGGAGGCAGGAGCCAAGAAAGAAGGGAATTTCTCTCTTGGGAACTTTACTGACATAATCAAAACAACTGAAAAATATGAATGACAGCCATTCAAGCTATAATTCAGCTCAGCATAACAATGCTGATAATCCCTCAAATGAAATCTTTGTTTCCTTTTGTGAATCCTGCAACCTTAGATGAAAAAATAATTAAACATGCTTTTTCTTTAAATTGCCACACAACCTACCTATCTAAAACCCACCTTTATGGAAACTACATAATCTACCTTTCAGTAACATTTCCCTTATCAAAACCAGGTCACTTTCTGCCAGATTTGCATACTTGCCTTTCATCCCTTAATTCAGCTCCTTGTTAAAGATTTCAAACAGATAAAGGGCTAGACCACAAATACAAATAAAATAAATAATGCTTATATGTCTATGTGAACATTGACATCATTTACAGATTTTTTCCCCTCTTTTCCTGTCAATAATCATTACTTATTAAACAGGCTGCCATTCCCTTCTACAGAATGGAGAAAGAGAGCAGAGGGGCAGAAATAATTACCTTGGGCTTTTTCTCTGAAGACCTCCCCAGAATGGAACACAAGGAAATCAATTAAATAAGAACAAAAAACACCCCAAGAAGTGCACCCCCCCACACAGGGCTGGGAAGTGCTGGAACACTCCATGATTCATATCAACTGCATCGAAAGATAAAAAAAAAAAACAATCTAGGGCTTCCATGGACACCTATTTTCAGTGGATTGAATATGTTCAAACATACACCAGCAAATCCTTCATCCTTGCACAAAACTCAAGCTAGGTGGTTGAGAGGCGCCTCTAAACATCTGAGAAAACTGCTTTCAGAAATGACTGCTTTAAAAAAAAAAAAAAATGACTGCTCCAACCAAACCAGAGAAGTTATAAGTTACAGACTCTCCTGCCATTCTAGTGTTGGCAGAATCCTTCCTTCCCCTCTCTTTCCTGATTGGCATTTATTGTCTAGCCTGTTTTCTCCAAAACTGTGTACAAGGAAAAAGGAGTTTCTCTCCTGGATCTTACCTACAAGTACACTTAATCCTTAATAAAAATTTTCTGGAAAAAAGTTTCGAGGGTTAAGGAAGATCACAGCTTAGGGATACGAAAAAAATACCAGATGACAGAAAAAGCAAACCAGGAATTCCTAGCAGCATTGAGGAGTTAATGAGGAGCACTGTCTTTCCCCTGGATGTTACAGCCCCGAACAGAAATACAGTATCAAGACAGCATAATCAGTTTTTGCAGAAGAGCTTTCCAAAGAACTTGAACTGGCAAGCTGGGGGTTTGTCCTAAATAACCTTCACAAACTATTCCCATACCCTGATCAGTCATCAGATAAATGAAGTTCCTGAGATTTCCTTAGAATAAGTTAAGTGGGTGGGGTGGGAGGTCAGTTAGTTACCTAAAACGTTCAGAAAAATACAAAGCCTATACCTATATACAAAAAGCTATCTTGAATGAGGTTAACTGTCTAGGACCTTCATGAATTGAGCCAGCCTGAACATGTTTCACGCAAAGGGTGAATCAGAAAGGGTTGGTGTTCTCCCTTCCAGTGCAGAAAACTCTGTCCCAGCCTGCCTGTCTTTCAAGCTGGGAGGGCAAGGAGATCAGGTTCACACCCCACCTTTGGGAAAAGAACAAAAGCAAATGCTTGGCAAAGCTGGAAAAAAAAAAAGGAAACAAAAAAAAGCTCTCCTTCTTGCTCAGAACCCCAGGGGCAGCCACTCTGCAGGGCTCTCTTCTTATTTCCTCCTAGTTAACTCAGGCTCAGTGGCCACAGAATCAATTTCTACACCTCTGTCTCTGGGCCACTGGCAGGCTAGGGGGTGATCAGTTTATCCTAGGATCGCCTCTTTTCCCAACCTCCCCCAATGGCTTCTAATTAACCCTTCCAGGTCCCGGCCTGGGCCAGGGCTGATGGAAGGGCTTCAGCTACAGTCTACCAACATCTCCATCACATCCTAACCCCCACACGGCCTTCACTTCCCTTTGTGGTTTTTCCTGGATCAGTGTGCTGGGGCCTTTTTTTCTCCTTGCTTCCCACGGGCGACCAGGAACAGGGCTCTTTGGGGAAGGCCCTCCCTCTTTCCCTCCCTCCCCAGCCCGGTGCGGGAACGGGATGCCGGAGCTCGCCTGGCCGCAGGTCTGCAGTAAGAGCGGATGCACTGGCCTTAACCCTTTCAAGAGAGTCAGGGGTTCTGTTCTCATTCGGGACCCACGGAAGTCAGGCCGTGGAGCTGCACGGTCTGCCCGCTCTTCTCCCCAGCCCCGCCGCACACGGGACCCAGCACTGGCGCACACCTGTGCTCGCCCAGTCCTGCACTCTGCGCGCCCGACCTGGGATGGGGGAGGGGGGTTGCCAGAAGCCAAGCAGCAAGGGGCACAGATGGCAGGACAGCAGAGAGGGGCCAGGGTGATAAATCAGAGTTGAGACACCGTGTTTACTTACGAAATTTGGGGCTGGTGCTAGTTTCTAGTGTGGTGGTGGTGGTGGTGGTGGAGGAGGAAGAAGAGGAGAAAGAGGAGGCAGCAGCATCCTGAAAGGGAGACAGGGTCCAGGAGGGAGTAGAATCGTGAAGGTAGGAGGAGGTAGCATATGCCGCAGTGGGCCAGGAGGGCATCGCCTGGGTACTGGGGCTTCCTGGCGCAGGGGGTCGCGTGCCCAGCGTGCTGCTACTGAAGAAGGGGGCCGTGGTGGTGGACAGGACCGTCGGGGGCGTCCCAGTGTTCCGTGCCGTGGTGGACCGCGGGCTGGCCCGGATAGGCACCCGGTGGCCCGGGAAGCGAGTGGGCGCCCGCGTAATGGTGGTCAGGCGCGTGCTAATCCGGTTGGGCGTCCTGGAGGAGGCGGAGGCGCCGCTGCTGCCGCCGGCCGAGGGAGTGGCGGGGGATGTGGTGGAGGTGGTCGTGGTGGTGGTCTCCATGGCTTTAGGGAAAGAGCTGGGCTTGGAGAGGAAGAAGGGGTCCTGGCCCATCCCCTTGGAGTCCACTAGGTCGGTGGGCACGTACTCCTTGACGGAGCCCACCACGATCCATTTGAGCAGCATGAGGCTGAGCCCCAGACCGATGAAGCCGATGAACAGAGGCACCACGCACAGCCACGTCTGCTGCCGGTTCCACACGATGCAGTCGCTACAGCGTAACTCCCGGGGGGGCTCGGCCGCCCCTTCGCCACCGCCGCCACCGTCCGGGCCCCCGCCCGTCGCCGACGCCGCAGCCGCCGCGGTGCCCTCCTCGGCCGAGGCGGCGGCTGCAGACGCGGCCCCCGGTGGAGAGGCAGCAGCCGCGCCTTCGCTCATCCTAGGAGCTGGGCTTCACCTTCGCCCCCGAGGGCCGCGCACAGGCACGGGCCGCGCGGGCTCCGGCGGTGGCGGGCGCGGGCTCAGGCAGCGTCCGGGGCCGGGGCCGCATGCAAATCGGCTCCCCGCCCCCACGCCCCTCCCCCCGAGAGAGCGAGGAGCGCGGAGAGCGTGGGTCTGCGGGCGGGGAGCTCGGGGGAGGGGCGCGCCGGCGAGGGGAGGGAAGGGGAGAGGGAGGGGAAGGAAGGGGAGAGGGCGGCGGCGGCGGCCGCGCGAGGGGCGAGACGGCCCCGGTCACGGAACGGCAGCGGAGCGCGTCTGCAGCCCGCCGAGCGGCCTCCTGCTCGCCGGGGCCCCGCTGCCTCGGCCTCCCCTGCCCACCGCCTGCGTGCGCCCCAGCCGCGCCGGCATCCTCGGGGCGCCGCGCCCGGCCTGCTCCCCGCCCCCGGCCTCGCGCCGCCGCCTTCAGGGGCCAGGCTGGCCGGCCGCGCGGTGCCGGGCGCCGGCGAGCCGCATTCCGACACAGGGGGCCCGGCTAGGCGCCGCGCTCCTTCTCCTGCTGCTGCTGCTGCTCCGCGAGCCGGCGGCGAGTGCACCTGTTCTTCAGGCGGCCCGCAGCCAACCCTCGGCCGGCGCTCTCTGGGAGAGACCAATCGCGGCGCGGCGCGGAGGGCGAGCGGCCCGGCTCCTCGTTCCCGCCGCCGCCGCCGCCCAGAATCAAACTCCGGTGTCGCCGCGAGCCCGGGCCAGGGGGGACCCACCGCGCGCCCGCGGGGGCCACGCGGCAACAAGAGCGGCGGAGGAAGCCAGGTCGCTCCGGGGCAATGCTGCACGGTGCGGTGTGGGGAGCTGGAGCGAGGTCCGCGTCCAGGGGTCCCGGGCGACGAGAACGACACGGCCAAGGCTGCTCCAGGCGCGCGCCGCTGCCAGGCGGGTGGGGGTGTGCGTGTGTGTGCAGAGTCGCCTCGGACCGGCTGGAATGCGGGCGGAGTAGCGCCTCCCACCAACACCTAAAGGTGGTTTGTCAGTGCGCACAAGATAAAAACATGATCCAAGCAAAGCCCCTCTGGAGAAGTGTGGCAAAAGCGGCTCCTGAGCGGCCGTGAGAGGTCTCTGGTGTGGATTCGGTGCGGTCAGAGACTGGCGCCGCAGGGTGGGGGCGCGCGTCTGGGGAAGGGACCCGGGCGCTCTCCTGCCTGGCCGCGGGGCAGCTACACGGAGAGTCACCTTTGCCTGGAGTTCCTGGCAATGCTGGTGGTGGAGGCGGTCGCGGAGAGATCAGACCTGTCACATCTCTCAGGGCCATTAATAACTTACCTTTAAGAAAGAGAGAGAGAGGTTGTCTTTAAATGTGGATATAAGCACAGGTACACACGTCACAAGGCAAGTGCTCTTGAGAGGTAAAATGCAAAAAGGTTTCGGATTGGCATCTCAAGTTCTGTTGCTGATTTCTTTCCTTGGGTAAGGAGGCACCCAAGTGTCTGAATCTCATGTGCAGCATGTTACCTGCCTAGGGGACAGGGTGGAGTAGAGGGAAAGGAACGCTGAAGAGCCAGGATCAGCATGGTATGTGCTGATGGTGCAAAACCTAGCTTGCCAACTCTACTCGGATCTCCTAGTCTGAAGTGGAAACCAGAGATGTTTTTATTTATAAGCTCCAGGAATGAGAGGTTGATCACGGCAGGCTCCCAGTACACCTTCCCCACACTATAGGCCAGACGATAGAGCCAGCATTCTCTTCCTGTAATGCTCTCCACAAAGATGAAGTTTGCATGGTATCCATTTTATTCACAGGTGAATAGCCAGACTACTCAGAGGAAATAGCAAAGAGCAGAGGATGCGTTGAAACAGAAAGCCCCTGGGGTTTTGTGCCTACCAGAGTTCTTTGTACAGACATGGTTAATAAATTATTTTTGATGGCAGTAATTCAGCTGTCACCTCTTTCAGCTATAACACTGAGACTTCCCTCATAGGAAGGCTTTTGATTTTCACTCTGGTCGAACGTGCTCTAATCCAGTAGTGTTGAATTATGGTTCTAAAAATTGCAAGTGAAAAAAATACCACAAACCCTTGAATCCATATTCAGTCATCTTTCTAATGCACAGTATATTCCTGTTAAGGAGAAATTGACCCAGACTCTACCATCTACTCACAGCCTTTCTGGTACAGCAAATAAAAGCTTTCACACGTTATAGTAGGGGATGCTGTCAGCTATTTGAAATGGAAAATTACTTTTGTGAAGCATTCCTAGTTCATTGCTTCCTCTTCCTGGGATTTCATGGTCTCTCCCTTCTTCTCTGCCTACTGGAATAAATGCAGTGTACAAAGAAAGGAGCTGTAATGCTGCAGCTGGACAAACACTCCCCTAAAACCAAGTTCAACAGTGCTCACTCCGTGTGGTCCAAGTGCTCTCCAGTGCTTTCTTCACCTACCTTTCCAAACTTCCTCCACTTTCCATTTCCCCTTGGCTTTAAGAGCTTACTCCTGATTCTCTGTTGAGTTCCTTTTCTCCCAGATCTCAAGGCACTGCACTCAACTGCCCATTAGCTGTTTTCACAAGGCATCATCACCAGAGGGGAGAGAGTAAGAACCCATTGTCTTAATATTTCTCTATTACAGGTTGTACCAGCCCACCCAAGAATGTTTGGCTGGTGTCACCATCATTAACTTGGGGTTTTACTGTGAGGCGCTCTGGTAGCACGTGGTAAGCCTTGGAGCTGGGATTGGGGAGGCACTGTCTACAGTGGAGTCAGGGACACATGGTGGACCTTCTCCCTGTGTGGATGAGCAACCACTAGGTTCCCTGGTAAGGAGCCTCACTCTCATTCCCAGCTCTCCAGAGCAGAAGGCTGAGCAGGAACTTTGAGTGAAGAAAGGGATTCAATTTAGACCTCCGCCCTTTATAGCTACAGAAATCACTCTGGGCCAGTTTTCTCAACCAGGGATGCTATACCTACATGCTAGATAATAACAGTGAACTTTGTATAGCTCAAGGAATTCACCCAGGGCACCCACCATTTTTAGGCACCTTCGTATAGATAAGGGTGTGGATTATTCTACTGAAATTCAGCTTTCCTTTCAGTGGCACCAAGATCCCCAGTTTGAGAGGCCCAATGTCATCTCTTACTACTTGCCCCCATACCCCAGTTCAATTAGTCACTTACTTTCTATCATAACAATATGATTGTCCAAGATTCCTTCATTGAAAATTCTTTGACAAAGGTTCATATTCAGAACCATAGGGCTGAAAGTCATTTTAGTGGCCAAACTCCAATCTGGAATCCCTTAAAATTCCCCACGCTAAAAGTCATTTGGTCACAACTGGAGCTCCAGGGAAGTCCTCACTGCCTGGGAAAACCTACCCAGCTTGTCAAAAATATACATCCTGTTAAAGTCTTGTTGAGCCAAAAATCTGCCTCCCCATACTTTCTTTCTTCTTATTCATTACAGAAACCTTTTATGAATTGCCAGGAATGGGTGATACAACAGAGAACAAAATGAATGTCTCTAGCTTTGTGGAGCCTATATTTTAATGGGAAAGACTGACAAACAAATAAAATAGATAAATTATGTAATGTGTCAGAAAATGAGGAGTGAAGTTTTGGACCACAAAGGACATAGCTTTTTGGCACAATTACACAGGACATCTGTTTTCCAATTCCAGTGTCCCTAATCAATTTACTATTCTCACTAAGGCCTTGAGAACTTGACACTCCTAGAAATATGCTAGAAAGGTGCTCTTTTACTACTTGTGAGTTCCCTGGGTAGTGTAGTCACTTTAGAAGGTAGTCTGTCCTGAAAAAATCTAATATTCTTTACAATGCCCATTAGAATCATGTGTATAGGTAATGTGATACCTTCACACATTCCACAGAGTAAACATTTTACAAAGGATGAATAAGAGTCATCTTCTTCCATACAGTTACCTCTTTCCATGTTCTAGTCTAGTTCTGTGATTAGAGTGATATGCACTTTGTAGTAATCATGGTAATCATCCTAATTCTCAACAAGTAACCTTATTTGTTTCTTAACGGGCTTTTGACGTCTTGTGTATCAGATCAACCCAAAAATATACTGGAAAATGTCACCTGTGGATCACACCATTCATAACATCTTGAGGGTCTCATGCATTACAACTCAACACTATACAGAGAAGCTATAAACTATACAGAGAAAAATCACAAAGTGAAAAGGCAAAGAATTTCAGTTCTAACTATATCCTAGTCACAAAAGGCATTGTAGCAGTATTCAGGGAATTAAGGTATTAGGAAGATGAACACATTGCACCATCATAAATTAAGAAGTGCTAAATACCCTATAGCAAGAGCTGGAATCAGAAGTTTTGAATGAGAAAAAATAGATACGAAATTTCAATAGGAGATGCCCATTGTTAATCTCTAAATTTCAATATAGGATAAGAGCTAGGTGGATTTTTCATGAAGAGGATTTTTTTGGCAGAGGCTGTGCTCTGAATTCAAAGTGGGAAGAGACTACACACAGAACCCTTTTACTTCAACTGTAGTGAAAGTGGACTGGGGAGAATCTTAGCTCAAAATGGGATGGCCCGTTTGGGGAAGAGCCTCCTTGGATTGGGAAGGGTGCACAATCCAGGTCAGGGAGCTGGCTAAAGTGGACCATGGCAGCAGAGGGTGCTTTGAGCATTTGCCATCACCAGAAGGCATGAGGCCCTTGGAAACCCAGAGCATCCAGGTGAGATGTAGGGTGGGAGTAGAGGAGATGCAAAGTCAGGAAATGAACTGGGAAGTCAGTGTTGAAGGCTGTCAGAGTGATAGTTCAATGTTTATGTAATTCCTGTGTCGACACTAAACCACCTGTGCTTCTCGGTGCCAACATGAGCCTTTCTTATTGGCATACCCAGTGTTGCCTTTGCTATTTATCTAGTTTTTGGTCTCTTTGTCAGTGTTTTTGCCTTTCCATCCCTAATATCCTTCCAAAACACTGCTAGATACTATATTTTTCATCTTAGTATCATCTAAAACTGGCAGGTGGGTAGG